CTTGAACATCAATGTCTGATTCTCCTTAGCCGCTATCTTACTACCCAAATACACGAAATCTTGTACATCTTCAATCGTTACTGCCCTGTCCAGTTCTTGTAGGGTTAACAAATTTCGGAATGCATATACAAACAGTGGAAATATTTCATTTTGATCACCAGATAATGCCACCAATTAAAAAAAATCTATTTCAAGTTTGATAACTAAGGAAAATGTCAGACCTGAAACTCAAAATAAAAATGCACAAGTTTAAAAAAACATATATTCTTTTACAGAATATACAACAGATAAAGTACTGCATATACTGTAGACCATAAAAATTAAGATTAACACATGGTACTTTTTATACAACAGGAAACTTTCTTAGTTTCTATTCACATTTCAAGATATTCTAAGATTACAAGCATTCATTATTGCACCAATTCTTGCATGAAGTGGATAAGCAATACTAGAGTTACGTGGTACACATTTATTTATATTTTAGATTCAGAGATGAAAACACTTTTAAACAACAAATGAAAGTTTTGGCTGATCCTGGGTCCCAGCCCATACAGGCTAGAGGTCTACATGTTCTCAGGTAATTTCTAGCCCATTTTGGGGCATTAAGTAAACACTCATACTACTACTAGTCCTTGGATAATTCATAAACACTGAACTTTTACTAAAAACTACAAACCAATTGAAATACAACATGTCATTTCATGAAATATTGAGACAATATATGAACAAGGTGCTGACCAATCATTTATAAAACAAGGCTATTAAAACTTAAAAACAAATAATGGGATATTATATATGTTCATGCAAGAGCTTCTACCTTCCCTATATACACTTTTTTCATTTCTAAGACAAAATTTATACATGCTGAAATTTGTATGCAATATGACAGCCATTTATTCAGTAAATTTTAGCTTATAAAATGGTATGATAATTCGTTGATGAGTATGACACATAAGTTAGTAATAATTGTTTCTCTTGTTTTTATAATATTTAGTGTACAGAACCTCTGATTTGCACTTAAATGCAAAGATGACTTACTAAGTCATAAAAGTTCAATAAAATAAAACACTTTTTAGGTTTTTTAATAGCAAACTGAGTCAACAATATATATGCTAAACATGAATTTTATAACATGAATGTAATACTTTATAAGGTCTATACATTCTTCATTGTAAAATAATACATGATCAGGTTTAGATCAATGCAAAATAACATAGCTTAGCAGATGGAAAATAATTTTGAAATCTGTAACATTTAATATATCTATAAGTGTAACAAAACATTATTGAAAATTACTTTTATGGTCCATTTAAATTATTTCACTCATACAAGTAGTGTCTAATTAAAGAAAAACGTCTGTTCTTTTTCATTCTAAAAAAATGGATAAAAAAACACTCATTGTTAAGATTAAGAATTAAAGCTTACCTCTTCAATCTTCCACCATTGCACTTTAGGGTATTTATGCATTTCCAAGGCGTTTAGATACCTCTAGCTTCAAAAGACACCTTACTGCATCAATCAGTCAGATAAAAGAAGAAGCCACACATACCAATTTTGATGAGGGAAGATGGTTGCTCACAAAACATAAATATATAAAATAAAAACAATATTAAGAAAGAAATAATAGAATATAAGACATCAATGGGGGAACACAGCAAAACTGCCCTTGAAATTAGCATTCCAGCCCCCAATATGATGTTTGGACATAAATCCCAAGATGTTGAGGTATTACTATACTAAGCCCAACCTAAGTTATTAGTCTAGCTCCCATCCTCCACCCTTCCATGCTACTATCTGGATCTTCAGAGGTTCTA